GACGAAGGGATCAGCGCCTACACTTGCACAGAGCACAGTTCTGGTTTATGCATTCAAGAACACGAACAGTAAACACATCTAAGATCTTATCACCTTAAAACATAGCTGTAGAAGCTAAGCAGCTCCAGATGTTTGTAGCTTTGCTATCTTTTGGTTCCAAGATTAAATATGGACATGTCTCCAAAATAATGACACCAAAACCTAAAGAACCCACAAAACCTACTAAATAAATATGATTAAGATTAAGATATCTGGAAAACCAAAGTCTAAGAGGTCTTCAAGCCTCCCAGGAAATCACAACTTTTTTTTTCCTGAAACCTGAATCTGGACACCTCATTTTTATGATGACCCTTTGCAACATAAAAACTTTGGTCCTAACACAGCCCAAAGAGATGTACAAAGTAACTGGGATGGCAAAAAATAAAATATTGCTTCTTCATTTGTCAGCATGTGCTTGACCAAATACAACAAGCAATCTGCTGACATGTCGGATCTCCTGTCCTTCCCAAATTTTGGTGACATTACACCATAAAGGCTGAAAAATAATCTTATCCTAAGAACATTAGTGAAAAAGATCTGCTGCAAAGGTGGTTTCTACGAGTGTTTCATCAGATACCCCTATTTGCCTAAGAAACAGCACATCTTCATCCAAAGAACTGCACCTGGCTGCTGCATTGGACCTGTTCTGGTCAAGTATTTTACAGTCCAAGCCTTGCTATCCAAGAGTAAAACTGCTGTAATAATCAGATCACTGGCACCGCTACAAAACCATCCATACTAGAGAATCAGTTACAGTACTAAAAAATAGAAACAAATTCCCCAGTATTATCTAAAGCCTTACAACAGCAGCCGAGCGTATCCTGTCCAAAGACCAAAGTCATACACTGATGTCCTCCAAATGACAACAGCCATCCCCTATCAAACCACCACATTTTTTTTCCCACTTTAAAGAACCTCAGATAATGAAAACAACAGGATGCAAAAATAGTTTCCAGTGCTTCTGCAAAAATCTTATGTAATCCAGTGTTTTCTCTCCTACTTGTTTAACATCATAAAAGAACACGGCTGACTACGCTGCCAAAGATCGAGTTTGCTTGTGCAAGACAAGCACGTGTCAGTTTATCGTGCCAGTTTGCCAGTTTACCGTGCCAGTTTGCCAGTTTACCGTACTAAAGATTCCCAATGAATGACTCACACCACGGGGAAAAACGTACTTGGAAGACACATGAGCAGGATGCATGTGAGATGCTACACAGGTGAGCAAGGCCCTGAATGTGAAGTACTCGGAAGACATCATTTGCTGTGGAAGATCCTACAGAAAGCGGAATTAACGTGCTGTAAAGTGATAACACTGGTCACTCAATGAATTAAATCCATTAAGACAGAATCAAAGTGTTTATGTTATGTTTAAGGGTAAATACTAATTTTTAACTCATCTAGTTATTGACTCTTCCATCTATGAAACTGCTGTTCACACTACATTTACTTTCCTGGAAAGTTTACCTTAATTGTAATTTCTTATCCTCAGATCAGTTATCACAGGAATACTACACATACTGCCATGACAGGAACAACCCAGCACAACATCATCTTATTTCTCATTATTGATTTGAGCACCTTGAGTCCTCGCGCTTACAGTTGCATTTAAAACCTTCACTAATTATTAAAACATCTAAATAAATGTTGAAGATGTGAAATAATGAAGAGCCACAGCAGAAGAGCTCTACATTTTGGATTAATCAACAGTTTTCTCTGGCATTCATTTTTATCCTGGAAGCTACTAACTGAGCTGCCAGGAGGGTTAAGAATGCAGCAGATGAAACACCCGAGGGCTCCTACCGGTTCCTGCCTTTACCACGGCAACAACTTTGCTGTAAGAGATCGCGCGGTTTTACCTGATCATCTCCCAAAAGCAAAAAAAATAAACGTCACCACGTAAAAGCAGCGGTGGTAACAGCACGGCTTAGGGTGCAGGACAACAGGATTTAAATAAAGAGGGAGGTGAATTATTTCCAAGGCAAGCTTCTGATGCGGAACCCACGAGGTACCCAGAACCCACGCGAACTGCAGAAAGCCCGCTCCGACGAGAAGCCCCGACACCCCGTTTCGGTTAAGGGATGACGAGAAGCAACAAACAGCCGGGGCTCGGGGCCCACCTCCCACAAGCGCC